ATTTCTTAATATAACCAAAAAGAGTTCTGTTTAAATAATTCAAGCAATACCATGTTTAGTCTACGTGTTAAAAATATTTCACATTAGATTTCAACAATTTTACATCCATTACTCTTAAATACAACACAACACCACTTCCTTACAAAAGGCAGTAGATGTGAATACTCTTTGGACAAGTTTGCTGGAATATCCTTTTGATAAGACTCCAGGTAGAGCACTAACATTCAATTCTAAGAGCTACATATTAAGAGAAATACACAGAGGGTCCAATTTTTTAACATGTCCCTTTCCCACCTATCTGCCAATAACTGAGTATGGTTTAAAAGAATTGAACTATTTTCATATATGCTACTAGAAGCCTGGTGCACGAAATTTGTGCATGGGTAGGGTCCCTAGACCTGGCCAGCGATCAGGGCCATCTTTCCTGGCTTCCGGAAGCCAACCCTACCTCCTGCCGCCAGTCGCCCTCTGTGTCTGCGGCGATTGGCGGGGTGATCACACCCCAGCACTGCTCGTGTCAGCTACCACCCACTCCCGGTTCCCAGTTCCCCATCAGGCAATTGGAGCCTGTCGGCCGAGGGGAGGAACTGAGAGGTTGGCCTTTCCTGCCTGCTTGCTGGCCCAACCCCCCACCGCTGGTCACCCTCTATGTGTGGGGCGACCAGAAGGGCAATCAGGGCTCCGGTGCCACCTGCGTCCACCGCCACCCATCCCCGGTTCCCGGTTCCCCATTGGGCAATCAGGGCCTGTGGGCTGGGGGCAGCTCCTGCATTGAGCATCTGCCCCCTGGTGGTCAGTGCACATCATAGCCGACTGGTTGTTCTGCTGTCCAGTCGATTTGCATATTACACTTTTATATATATACATAGCACCTACCATGGTTCAATATGCATAATAAAAGACTGACTCAATTAAATCAAGGTATTTTTCATACTAGTATTTTTTGTTTAAGTAAATTCTAAATAATATATAAAATTAGGAATAAAAATACCAAAAATATCAACAGAACATATCGATATTAGAGATAAAAGAATTTCAGAGGGCACTGATATTATGGGGTCAGGGGGAAGCTAGTTTACAAGCAAAAGGAAACCCATTTTCTTCCAAGAAATTTTAAAAAGCAAGTTTTAAATGTCTTTTTTCTGAAATAAGAAATACTAAAAACAACCCAAAAGTGCATTTAAAAATAGAGAACTTGCCTACAGTTATGTGAGCAATTAAGATAAGAAATAAAACAAATAAAGCTGCAGCACTAAACATGCTGCAAAATGTGAACATTTAATCCAACCAAGATGGTTACACCCACTCCCATTAGTAAAACAAAATGTAGGACAAAATGGGAAATTAATGAGCTTAGCTGTAGGGGCTTGTTTGTTTGTTTTTTAATTTCATCCTTTTGCTCAAAATGTAATTTCTATTTTACCCTAAAGTCTTTTGTTGGCTATAAGGGGAATCAAATGTTCCTAAAAAAGAATCAGAACAAGCTCTGAAAATGCATAATACAAGCTTCATTTGTTCTAATGCACATCTGGTGTATTTTGTTTTAACATTTTTGACAGGTTAATCATTTGTCTTCATGTTTAAAGAACACGACTGTTTTGCTAGTGCTGTTACACATTCATGTGGGGGTGAACAGAAAAAGCTAGAGAAGGAGAAAGGTCTCTTTGTTTTTTCAAGATGCTTTGTTAAACAAAGGTGAGAGGAGAAGGGGGAAAGGGGAGGGGGAAGGGGGGAGGGGGGGGTGGGGGGGGGTGTACCTAGGTAACTTGACCTTGGTGTACAGAAACTGACTCATTATGAAAGTAAAAATAAAGCCCATTAATAAAAATTAGTAATTTGAGGGGGAACTTTTCTTATTTGAAATGAAGTTATTTGAAAACCTTTCAGAATAAAAACAACAGTGCCTAATTTTGTGATGAAAATCTAATTTTAAAAAAAAAACCCTCAAGGCTAAAAAACATAAAGGCCTAAAGGGTTATTCAGAGAATAGATAAAGTAGCAAAGGTGACTAAATTAACTTCTGGGAAAAACCAGTTCACCATGCAAAGAAAGGAGATAGCTAAATACAGATATATTTAGCATTTAGTTTCAGTTTTAACTGACTATATTTAGTACTGTTTGGTTTTGTTGAGCTTGAATTTAATTAGAAAGAAGTATGAGAAATATTTTCATCAAATTGAACTGTAATTCATATTTAATTTTTAAAATAATGTCAATTTCAGGTCTTACTTAGGAAAAATTACATCTGATTCCATGACAACAAACACTATTGTAATGGAAAATCCTAATAAAAAGTGCCAATACTCAGTTCAATAGCTAATAAGAATGTGTTATTCAATGCAGACTATCAAAATAAATAAATAAAACTCTAGTACAACAATAGAATTGGAGAGTATATATGAAATTGTTTAAAGTACAAAACATAATCTATAATTCATGGTGTTAGTGGCTACCATGTCTGAAGAATTTTGGTAGGAATTTTCAGCTCAAGTAGAGTTAAAATGTGAAGCCCAATCTACTAAAACAATATTAAAATACTTGTTCTGTTTACACTATGAAATTTTATTTGAAATAATACCTATCTATAGCAGATATACAGTAAAAAAAATATCAGCACCATTTGACTCTTCCGTTTGTCTTTCCTGTCCATTCTTAATTACTTGATGCAATCCTAATATATCTGACATTTGTCCTCTTCATTTCCAGTCTCATTATGAAGACATTAGTTTAAACATTAGCTTTATTAGTCTCTGGTGATTGTGTCCAAGCTGGTCTCCCTGCTTCTAGTTTTGATTGATGCCAATACATCTTATGAACTCTTGCTAGATTAAACCTGTAAAGAATTCCCCACCTTAAAAACTTCTAAGAGATTCTACTGAATATAGAAAAAGATAAAAGTCCAAGCTTACTAGGATCTTATTCCAGATCCTTCTCAATATGACATAAATCTACCATTCCAACACAATTTCCCATTATTTTCTTTCATATCAATGTAGGGATACCTTTCAATACAGCTAAAGAGGACTAACTGATATTTCTTGTACATGGACTGTAATTTCTGACTTACTTCAATGTCTATGATTAATAGATTCTTCCTTCTTATTACCTTGAAATTCTAGCAAAAGCTAACTAATAATAAAGCAGAAAATTATGCTTGTGAAATCACATATTTTTGCTTAAGTATCTTAGCAGAGCATACTGTTCCTGTTTCTAGTCACCACCAGATATGCAGACTCACCGGCCAACCACAAGAGAGCAAAATTAGTATCAGGAACGGGATGACCAGCTGAGTCAAACTGCACATCCGGTCCACAGAAAATCCCTACTCCCCTCAACTCAATTCCTACTTCCCTTTTACCTTATATAATTATCTGTTTTGACAAGAACTGATAAGATGGGCTTTGGGATAGGAGTCCCCACCTTCTCAAGTTGCCGGCACTTGAATAAACCACTTTCCTTCTCATCAGCACCTGTCTCACAAGTTTGGCTTTCATTGCAGCACGCAGCACAACTACAGTTTGGTTTCATACTTAAAAAGTATTTCCCTTAATCTATGCATCCAATTATTCAAGATCAGTTTAAATGCTAACTTCCTCATCTATATATGTAAATTCTTCTTCTACTGAAAACCTGCAGCACCTTGTGACTTTATCATTTATGTTATACTTTAGAACACAGCTACTTATGTAGCAACTAGAGGCCCGGTGCATGAAATTGGTACACAGATGCAGTCCCTAGGCCTGGCTGGCAATCAAAGCACGAGTGTCTGGCTTGGAAGGGCAGGTATCAGCTGACCTCTGGGCAGCACCTGGGGCCCCTGGGCCCCCGCATGCCACCCTCCCCTTGAGTCATCAGGGCTCCCACCCAGCTCCCTCAGCACATGGAGGCGGGGGGTGGCCCCACCCCCTACTGGCGCTGGTCGCTGTCTGCGGGGCAATAAGGTGGGGTGATCGGGCCCTGCTCGCACCTGCATTGGCTGGTACCAGCAGCTCACTTGCTCAACATTCCGGCACAGCACCGCTCTTGTAAGGGCCCATAGGGGCTGGCGAGCA